TGTTTTTTTCCTGCTGAGGAGGCGATTGTCGGTGTGCAGAACCTCATACAGCCTCAACTGGTTGCGTTCATTCTTTCATGATCATTTCCCATCTCATTGGACGCCTTGTAAGCTATAGTACAGCTAGAGCATCGTCATAAAATAGTCTAAGAATTCACTAATTCTTGGAGACGAATATTTGGGAAGCAGAGCATTCGCCTTGTACTCTCACAGCTTGTTTGTTTCGATAAACAGAGAACATGCCAGTCTCGTTCAGAATCTTGGCAAGCGACGTACTATTGTATTCTCAGGGAGAACTGATTGCATTTATCTTCGCTTAGGACCTTGTTCGTGGGACATTATACCATATCTCTCTGTGGCTCTCTACAGCCCTTTTTGTTGGTCCTCGGCCCCTTTTTTTTCCAGTTTTCGATCTTTTTGAACAGTCGGTAGTACTCGTTGGACGGGGGTCAGCTCGTCGCAAGGCCGTTTCCTGAACACAAAACAACACAGACACAGACACCCATGTCTCAAGTGTGATTCGAACCCAAGATCCCATTGTCTGAGTGTGTGAAGACAGTTCATGCCTTACACCGCGCTGCCACTGTGATCGGCAGCCTGTGACATATACGTACCGGTATACAGACACATCACGACTTGTGGGAACATACGCATAGATTATGAAGAGAGTCGTCTTCTGGGTTTAGGCACCGTGTATTCTTCGTNTACGCATAGATTCATTAAATTGTGAACTGCATGGTTTTCTGTCATCCTTGACACTTTGATAGTTTGTGCCTGGTGAAGAACTTCGGTTGTTTTATGAACTCATTTTTCTTTATTGCTAGTGGGGTGGGACTAAGTCCCTTGCACTGCGGCCACTTCTCGCCTATTGTACCATCCCCAGATGATAGGTGAGGGTGATTGTGGAGCAGTTGGTGGAATGAAGATTGGCAGGGGAAACAGAAGTACTCGGAGAAAACCTGCCCCAGCGCCACTTTGTCCACCACAAATCCCACTTAACCAGACCCAGGATCGAACCTTGACCGCCGTGGTGGGAAACCAGCGACTAACCGCTTGAGCTATGGCGCGGCCCCTTTATGGACTCATAGTCATGTTCACGTAATCCCTGCATTTGACCCCACCCTGAGCCTAGTTAATTCCAGCACGCTCCTTCAAACCAAATTTTATAAAGATTAATTTCAGGATTCTCCTCGTAGGTCTTCCAAGTGATCCCTCTTTTTATAGATTTTTGTAACATAAACTTTTTTATACGTTTCACAGTTAAATTATACATAATACATGTTCAGCCGAGCTGTAGTCTAGGTGAATAGCTGAATGATGTTCATCATAAAGCAGTTTTTGTCCAATTGATTACTTCTGTTTATTAGACCCGGTAATATCAGCGCTTTGCTCCTTATATAGCGTCCCATTACGTACACCATTTGAGCTTACTGGCCTGCTATTTTTATAACAGAACCACTTTCTTGACCTATATTGATAAAACAAGCATTCATGTCTTTTGTTCGTAAGTTGAGTAGAAAAAGAAGGCGTCCCCCTTTGAAACTGTAATCAATCATCAGGGCTTTGAAATAAAATCAGCCCTCAGCCCTAGCGTTGGAGAAAGCTGCCGCATCCAAGCATATTGATGGAAATGTGCTTCAGATTTTTTGTTCGAGTGGTAGGCCTGCTAGGTGTGGATTCGATGCTTTCGTTTGCATTACAGACACTTGTGGTCCACACCAGCTTATGATCCGATGTGTCTGGTATCTTATCTCACGAAATGTGCACACAGTAATTTCATCCAAGCATTAAATAAAACTGCTATGTTGCGACGAATAGCTGTTAGTTAGTTAGTTGCCTGGTAGCGCAGTATTGTCGCGTGGTGAGAACTGAAGGAACCAACGTCTTTCCTAGTTACTCCTGCTGTACACTATCTCTCGGCTTCTACAGCTTAACGTAATTTTTTATGAAAAGCGTTTCAGTGAAGTGTTGCCGTGTTTTTTAAATGGAAGTCTTAAAGGCCCAGTGTCAGATTTTACGCGGACAAGACTTAATTTCTAAGCTGTTCACGCATTTCAGCCGGAAAGCGGAGAATGGATGGTGTGTGTGTGGCGTTGCCAAGTCGCAAGAACACAATTCTCTTACATATGGCTAGATCTTTTGACATGTTCTAGCGACATTGCAGCATTGGATCCCTGTCTCTCTCAGCAGAGAACCTTCACTCCCTGTCCTCGCCTGAATCCTAATGTAGTATCTTTTGACCATTCTTTTTCTTTAAACTCTCGCATATGAGCATCCGGGATGTGCTGTTGAGATCAAACTCGACTAAACGGTGTGTCTACACTGTGTAATTGTATTAAGAAGTAGTTACTCTCTTGTGTGCTAAGCACATTCCCGCGCAAGCAGAGTCACTCAACAATAGCACGTCTATTGCTATGCAACAGGTCAGCAAACAAGCCTTCGTAACAATAGAATACGGCGTTTTCTTTGGGGTCCGTGCGGAATGATTATAAAGAAGTGTTCGGCAGCGGCAGACGGATAGCTCACAGATGACTGATATAAGTTGTTCTCATTAACAAGCATTGAAGACTTATGTCGTTTTTGCCCGTTGGACGTGAGGCTACATAGCACGACATCGCGTGTGTTCGCCACTGGCCTGAAAACTCGTTTGCATGCTTCGCCAAATACGAGTGTTATATTATGATATTCCGACACAAACTTTAAATTAATGATCAACATTGGTTATTTTGTCTGTTGTCGAAATTAACTACACCCCAATGAAATACAACTCAACCTCTTGTTTATCACCGTTTCGTAATTATGATTAGGCCTAGTTCCGTTTGCGCTGATAATGCGGACCATGCATTGGTTATGCACCGAGAGTCTGTACGCAGGTTGAATGATAGAATATTCAGTTGGGTACTTATGTCAGTAATATTGGCAGTGACAGATGTCAGTAGACAGCATGTTCACTGTGCTAAATCCGTAATTATCGGTCATAATTACAGGAAAACAAAGCGTCAATCTATCCGTGAGTTTGACGCATATATCCACTTCATTTACTGGCAGTCTAGCGGCAAACAGCTGGCGCCAGGCAGGAACATAATTTGATCTAACCATTGGCGTGCGAATTTTGTTTTATATGACTGGATTACGGTGATTCCTTATTATTTTGAAGATACTAGTACTGATTCGCCGGTCATGGTGCCCGAACGGTCTGAGGCATGTACTGTCTTCTCTCGCTCGGAAGACGGGACCGTGGGTTCGAATCCCACATAAGACATGAATATTTGGTGTGTGTATGTTTTTATTCCGTGTTTATGTTGTCATGTGTTTAGGTAGAGGCCTTGCAACGAGCTGATCGCCCGTCCAAGGAGCCCTACCGTCTGAAAAATAATCAATGAAACTGATAAATCAGCCATATGCTCCAAAGTGGGAGCGAAGAGGAAGGAAAAATAATACTGATTTTCCCTTCCTTCCATGCTTTCTTTAGCTGTAAGGCTGCAGGAATGATAATGAGTAGGATACGTACGGGAAGAGGAAGAATATGAAAGACAAGAAGACGTTGACGTGAAGTAAAGACAGAAATGAGAACTATATATCTGCAGGCTGAACAGCGGACGAATAGGAATGAGTGGATTTTTTTTTCCTCTGATCTCTCTCTTACTTTATTTTGTCCTTTCCCCAAAATAGAACTACTGAGTTACGGCATTTCGACGTTCTATGCATGCCAATGCATTAAAAAGTACAGAGGCGTGTTACTGCCTGCTTCCTTGCCCACCCCATGATTTCGCGGATCAAGGAGGACTGCACTATTGAGTGGTTGGTTGGTCTTCAGAATTCCTTTTTGCTCTGCTTAATTATTTCGTTACTCAATTTATTATTTAGTCATTTGATTAATTTACTCAGTCGGTTCGTTAGTGATTTAATTAGAATGTCTTTCGCTTTAACTCGATTATTTTTCCAGTCTGCTTGATCCCTTCTTGTGTATGGTATTACATCAAGTATAAAGGCTTTGATTTTTTGCGAGGGAAGGGATCCTACGCAAAAAGTTCTCAACAAAGAGATGCTTTGTCGCCGTTGTTTTTAACGTCTTTTCGCGATATAAGAAAGCCGAATTGATTAGAACTCAACACAACAGGTTTTGCTCTCTGCCGATGATGTTAATTTATTGAGAGGCAACATAAATACATAGAAAATTATCAGATGCTTACAATTATAAAGGAGAATAATGTAGAATTACAGAGAACCCTAAATGGGTGTTCTGTGCCTCCGCCAGAATGCAGGTCTCTCGAAAATGTGACAGACTTAAAATATTTTGGTGCATCAGTAAGAAATTGAAATTACATTCACGATTAGAGTGAGAGAATATTAAAATCCGGGATTTCCAGTCAGAATCGTAACAGAAATGAAGACATCAGAGTATACAAAACTGTTATTCTGCCCGTTTTGTACGAGTGTTAAACAAGGTTTATGGAATGAGCATGTGTTGAGTGTGTTCGAGATAGGTTGATGAGTGTATCAGGGTGTTCATAAAAGATTGTTGTGAAATATAACAAGGAGATGAGATGGCTCGGATTTGTATCACGTATCTGTGACGCGAGAAATCTGTACATTTTCATCATAAAGCCGAAAGGAGCGAGACCGCTTCGGAGGCCTGCCTAGTTGTAGATGAGATTCGTTTTAATGTGGTAGAATTTGAGGATGTGAGTATGCGGACTCAGTTCAAATAGCTCTGTCTAGGTCTAGTGGCGAGATTTTGTGAGACTGTAATGAGCCCTCTGGTTCTGTAGAAGATTGAAATCGCTTCACCATTCACCAACGATTAGCTTCTGAGGGAAGTCCAATCCAGTAAATTGCTGCTAGTCCTCACCAGCTTAGTCGTTCTAGGTTTCGGGCCCCTTAGGGACCCATGGCCATATTTGTGTCTGACTACTACAACTCACTCCCCTGAAGGAAGTTCCTACTCCGTGGAGTGAGTTAAATGAAATGCTTACCGCGACCCTTGTTGTTTGTTGCAGTAACTAAGTTCATCCGCATTGGGATCGCCGATAAGAATGACAACCCCCCGTTTTTCGACAAGGCGCTGTACGAGGCGGAAGTGGACGAGAACGAGGACATCCAACACACCGTCCTCACCGTCACCGCCAAGGACCACGACGAATGTGAGTAATGCTGCTTATCTGACGCTGTTCACTGTGGCACGAAGTTCAGGGGCCGTTGTAAATGAAACCTCACATGCTAAATTACCTGAGTGTAATCTTTCTTCCTCAAAATCTGAGTGTTATATAAAGAAGATACTTCCTTAAATATTTTAGCTCATATATGAGGGAAAGTCAATAAATAGGTCTCAAATGGAAGTGAAACAGCTATAATTAGCTTTCTGTGCGTATTACTAGGTAGCAGCACAGTCCAGCTTCATGACAGTCTCGGTAGCAGATGCGCATGCGCGTCTTCGGAGACTGGATTTAGTAATGAAAATGGCTACCGTGCTTGAGGACAATACTACCGAAGAGCAGCGTTGTGTTGTGCGTTTTTATTGGCAAAATTACTCAACGCGAAAGGTATTCATAAAGATATGTTTCATGTTTATGGTGAGAAGTGTGTGTCAGTTAAAGCTGTTCACATCTGGGTCGATAAATTCTCTCAAGGACTTTCGAAAGTCGCTTATGCTGCCCGACGAGGTGCGGAAGTGGCTGAGACAACAGTCAAAAGTCTTTTATGCTGCTGGTTTCCAGGCACTGGTAAAGCGATGGGACAACTGTATCAGTGTTGATGGAGGGTATCTCGAGAAATAAATGTTCTTTGCAGGTTTTAATATCACATGTTTTACGATTTATATCCATTTTTGGCATACTTACTAACTTTCTTGTAAATAATTGGTAAGAACAGAAGTTTTACGATTTATATCAATTTGTGGCCTATCTACTAACTCTCCCTCGTACATAATTGGCAAGAACAAAAGTCTATAATGTTAGTATCACTTAAGTATAATTATCTTAATGTAATGAGACTTAGTTGGGAACCTATATATTTCAGTCACTATAATAATTTCTACGGACTGGACAAACGTTGTTCGACTCGTAGCGGGAGAAGGAATTTTTGGCTCCACCATCAAGTCCAGACAGACCCTGAAACTCACGCACTTCCTTCTAGAACCAACATGTCACGTTTACCTTGTACTTGAAATGAAGAGGCGTTACCTTTTTTTGTTTTCAGCGTACTTTCCTTATTTTGAGATAAAAATACAGCGGAGTTATTAGATCACGTTTCTGTCTGTGTATCCCTCCTAATGTACTAGGTTTATATGGCTTATGGCATCACCTTGCTGTCTGTGTATCCCCTTATTTTTTCGTTTTCTATTTGATTCGTGTCGTATAAAGGGAAGATAGGCGGTTAGTTCTTCTCAGAACTTCTTATATTATTGTACAGAACTCGGCATGGAATTAGGTTATAATGTTCTGTGTGACGTTTTTGAATGTCTTTGGCCCCTTCTTATTCCACAGTGAACAGTTTATTTATGCATGTTTTGGATGTAAGAATTTTGAAACCCCGGTAGTAATGCCGACGTTCTCAACTAACGTACATGAGTTTCAGTATTTATCATTCCACCGCTGGTACGTAATTGTTTTAACAAGTCATTAGGGAATTATTATTGTACAGTCCAGCACGCACAGTTTTTATTTGCTGTCACCACGTATTTCGACATGTGGCCGTCATCGTCAGCGACACGAACGTGCATTTCCCACTGCTCCCTGTTTCAGTATTCGGTGCGCCTAGTCAGTTCCACAACGGGAAATTAGTAAATATTGTTATTCTACGTTTGCGGGTCGAACATCGCGATCAGTTCTTACTCTCCTGGTTCCTATTCTGGAGCTAAGATGTCATTGTAGTGCTTTACGCGAGGCTACTTCCTCTTCCGCCCATACCGTTTCCGATTAATGATTTACTAATCATCTAATCGCTACTCTGTTGAATTCGTTAGAAAGTCATACAATACCAGAGACCAGGCTGTCTCTAAGGGAGGTAACAGGAAAATAAACAATAAAAATTGTGATAAAGCATATACGGGCATGAAACTAAGATAGAAACGGAGGTGAAACTTCTTTGCAACAAACCAAGTGCAATATTATATTTAAGCATCCTGTTGCACTCTATACGATAAATGATATGAACTCCGTTCCAAATGCAAACAATATATTATATGTCCTTGATCTTGCTCTCCTTTACACTACATGTTTCGGCCTCAAAAGTGCATGAAAATGAGCGCATAGGATTAAATGGGGAATTTGTGAAACCATTTTGAGTGTACCGCTAGCGCCATCTATGGAGTAAAAACTGGACACTCGGGACTGAAACCTTACAGAGACCCGTCACACCATATTGGTTTTCTCTGTGAGTTGGTAACCTCATTGTTGATAAGGATGATCCAGACTGGGTTGACTGGTCGGATTGGTTAAGCATGCCATATGGGCCGATTCCTTGAATTTCCTATACCTGCTGCTACTTTCAGTTTCCCAACCAACCCTGTGACCGTCTCCATAGGCATGTTGGGCTAATTTTGATCTCTCTAGAACACTCTCTTTGAGATTGTGTCTATGTTCCCGGTGCCGACACGGCTAGAGGTTTGCCTGTTTCGCCAATGTAGCTTCTGCCACTTTCACAGGGAATGCTATAAAGGCACTGCACCCTCTATCTCCGATTCTTAGTTTCAGGTCCGTGCATGCTTTATCGCAGTTTTCATTATCTCCCTTCTACAAAGCCAGTCGTATGTATTGATATAGCTGTAGTTATACCGTACTGACATGGGTTGTCCAGTGACTGAGGTTAGCTCTTTCTAAGGGACCCAACAGTGTAGATGTCTCCCAATCGCCAGAGGGCGGAATCTAAGGGACCCAACAGAGTAGATGTCTCCCACTCACCAGAGGGCGGAAAGAGATCCAGTTTCCGAACATTATGTTCTCTGGTTTTTAGAATAGAGGACGATGGGCAAAGTCCAAAAACCCAGTAATTCTGATCAAATGAGAGACAAATTACAGGCAAGAACTGGAGAAAGAAAACAGTACAAAAATGAACAAACAAGAAAGAAAGAAAGATGAAGAGAGATGCACGAAGAACGTAATAACAGAGAACTGCTTAACACAATAAAATTCGTATTATAAACAAATATTATTACATTTTAGGTAGAAGATTATGAAATATTATTGAGTAAAACATCTCCGATTGCAAATATGTCGAGATCTTTACCCACAACGTTGGCAGCACAGGTGCACCGAGCAGAAGGACAGTGTTTATTAGAGGGACAAACACCAAACAATGAGAAGTTCCTAAGTTTGCAGGGAGGAACACGAAGGCTAACATTTTCCAAAAGCGAAGCGCAGGATTTAAGACTACAATGGATCTGAACAGAAATAAATGCATGAAGGTGATGTCTCCTTTTACGTAACGGATGTACACTTAATTTCTCTAAGGCAGAAGTATAGCGACAAGGAACATGAAGGAACAAAACTGACGAAAACAGACGGAAGCAAAATTCTGCTGGATGCGCTTAAGTTTGTTGGCATCGGTAGATATGATAGAATTTGACCTGACTAATATAAAGTTTTTTTTTCCCCTTGGCACTACAGCCCCAGTGGGCCTAGGCCTACCTCCATGAACTTCTCCGTTCACTTCGGTTTTTCTGGAGCTTACACATACTGTAGGACTCCTTGGGCGGGTGATCAGCTCGTCGCAAGGCCTCTACCTGTACACAGACACAGAAAAATGCACACAAACATCCATGCCCTGAGTGGGATTCGAACCCACGATCTCGGCTTCCGAGCGAGCGAAGACAGTGCATGCCTTAGACCGCTCGGCTACCGTGGCCGGCAATATAAAGTATAGCACATATAAACAATCCGTGAAAGAAAATCTTAAGGTTATGGAGGAAATAAGGCCTAATAGCTTTATGCATTCAGAAAATATGAGATCAACATAATTGTGAAAATATAATAATAATAATAATAATAATAATAATAATAATAATAATAACAGTAACGGGCGTCAGTGTTTACAGTTCGCTTTCGTTTAGTTGATATTCGTGAGCAGTTCATATACTATTAAAAATAAGTTGTATAAAGCGTTTTCTGCCATTTCATCTTTAAATGCCTTTAGCAAGAGCTCCATGCTAAAATGCCCTTTTTTTTTTATTCGCTTAGTGGGGGTGGAGTCCAGCTGTGTCCACTCGGCACGGCGGCCACTGATTGGCCTATTGCACCTGCCCCGGGTGATTATGATGAAGGAGAATTTTGTGGAATGAAGATTGACAGGGGAATCCGAAGTATCGGAGAAAACCCGCCCCAGCGCCACTTTATCCACCACAAATCCCACTTGACCAGACCCGGGTGGGAAGCCAGCGACTAACCGCTTGAGCTATGGCACGGCCTAAATTTCCTTTGCTCATTTCACACTTATATAACGTCCTCTGCCTCATGTTCAGTGTTCAAATTTGACTATTATTGACCCTTGTATGCCACTGTAAGGAGCAGCTGTGTTGGTCTTCTTGCTCCCAAGTTTTGCAGAAGTTCACCTGGCCCTTAACAATTTTACGCCGTGTTTAGAAGAAACCAATTGCAGTTAGTGACTAGCTGTGCTTGAACTGAACGGGGGATTTGGTTCCAAGATAGCATGCTTAACTTTGTGCTACTCTGTCACACTGCAAGTGTGCGAAGAGACGCTTCTTGTTATCACGTTCACGCTGTAGCTGTTTACTTATAGGATACTGAGAAACGGGAACAGCTTTGCGTACCTTCCTTCGCCGATATTTTCAGTGGTAACCTTTGCTATTATTATTATTATTATTATTATTATTATTATTATTATTAACCACTGTCCTGCACTGTGCTCCTCTACTGCCAACCTCTTGGATAAAGATCTCGACATATTTGCAATCGGAGCGGTTTCTCTCAGTCGTATTTTAAATCTTCTACCTAAAAGTATTAATAATATTTAAGGCTCTGTTATGTGGTTCTTAGTTATTACGTTCTTTGTTTATATCTCTTCAACTTTGCTTTTGTTTCCTTACTTCGGGATAGCGTAGTCGGTATAGCTACTGGCTACTGGCTGGACGATCGAGGGGCCGGCAGTTCGACTCACCTAGGGAAAAGAATTTTCTTTTCTCCACGAC